GGGTCAGAGGGCGCCCTGTGTGTTGTTGTTGTTGCTGTGCTGTTGCCGCGCTGAGCAGTGAGCTAGCGGCAGTGTTCTTCTGGCAGATGTAAATAAATGGCGGTGCTCCCTGGCTAAGAGGGCGGGGGAGCAAGACCGAACGGAATTCTGTCTCCTCCTTGTCTGAGCTCGCCACAGTATATTACTGCTCACATTCTGCAACTTCTGTCAGTGCTGTGCAACTGGAAACTGAATTTCCCAGAGGAACCCACCCGAGGGATAAATAAAGTTTCATCTAATCTAATGTAATCTATAGGGCAGTACAGGGCTTTGTATCTACCACTCCACTGTGATATAACGAGCGGTCACGGTCACGTGGCTTTCCGTTGCCCTGGAGGTCCACCCATTTGTAGTTAGAGCAACAGAAGATGCCTGGGACAGTTCAGCCATAACTTTAAACTTCTCCTGCTCATTCATGCTTGGAATGATCTTGTCACACTGAAGTGGACGATATATAGCGTGGCTCAAGCACGTTCATCACAGTTTAAACCCCTTGTTTTGCACAACAAAATACGGCCTCCCGTCTGCAGCTAAACACCCCATTAGCTTTTGTAATAGCTTTAGCGCGGTCGGATTGGGCAGCAAAAGGCTGCTTAAATACCGCAAACTCCTCTACTCCGCTACTTGGACCGCTAGCGCTGACCATAACTACCGCTTGAAAGACCCACCACGCGCACCATACACATATTTTTTTTTCTTTTTCGAATCTTCGGATCACGTGCGTACCAAACCGTGGAGTGGGATCAGTTCGGATTTCGGATCAACCGTGATCCGTTGCACCACTAATCAGAATTAAAGGTGTTTACCATAGTACACTTCAACCTCGCAGAGATTTAGGACCTTTGCACTTCCTGGTAGGAACACAGTGACGTAGCGTCCCTTCACAGAGTTACATGGAAAGTAAAACGCTTGTCCCTTGGGAATGTGAGAGATGACAGCACACCTGTGTACGAAAAAGTCAAATAGAAAAAGTATAAGAATGAATAAAAAAAAGCCCTACTGATATGATGATTACTGACTTATGGTTATAGCTCTTTCACCTGATGCTTTCAGGGCCACTGATTGATGTTGAATTTCCAATCCAGATTTCAGCACCATCCAGCCTGTTTTCCAATTCATCTCTATTGATTATCATTACAGCTCCAATTGTATACACATTTACTAGGTCTACTCTCCACCAGGGATTAGATTGTCCACTGGTAAGTGTGCAAGACCCTCTTTGATAGCTTGCATCTCTGTTTCCATCAACTGCTCTACCAGCAGTACCCAAGGGGCCACTGGTTGAAGATTGGACAGCTGTTTTTTTCAGTGCCAGGTTGTAAAGAAGTTGACCTAAGTGAAAAAAATAACTATTAATCAAAACAGAGGGGATTATTGTTATTTTCTTCTGGAATTGAGCATAAAATAAAATATATATCCATGTCGAGTGTCAAATTAGGAGTTCTTCTATTTGTATTTGTGGTGGTTTGCAATAGGCAATTTACTGCATATTTCACTGAATGTACAGTCATAGCTCGTAGTTTGACCTGATGTGTTTGCAGAGGTGGGACCAAGTCATTGTTTTGCAAGTCTCAAGTAAGTCTCAAGTCTTTGTCCTCAAGTCACAAATCAAGTCTCAAGTAATGTCAGGCAAGTCAGAGTCGAGTCTCAAGTCACTGGTGTAGAAGTTCGAGTAAAGTCACAAGTCTGAAACTTTGAATTTCAAGTCCTTTCGAGTCTTTAAAAAAAACAAAATACGAAAAAAGAATGTTGCAGTTATGCTAAATGTAAATATTAGACCATGTAATTTTAAAGTCTGTGTTTTTCTCAACACATGACGAAATAGTTAACTTAGAAAATATACACAAATTGTGAAATTGCACCTCTATAAAATGCAGCTCAATTAAACTTAGCTCCAAGAATAATTTTCACCGACAGTTCTGAGATAAGCTGCATGTTATTCTTGGATGCG